TGTGTCTGTGTGTGTGTGTGTGTGTGTGTGTGTGTGTGTGTGTGTGTGTGTGTGTGTGTGTGTGTGTGTGTGTGTGTGTGTGTGTGTGTGTGTGTGTGTGCATAATGGTTCGAAACAACAACAACCACAAAAACAACATCCTGCTGTAGCTGTATTTCTATGAAGTTATTAGAGAGGACTATGATTAAACTGGATATTATCTAAGGCCAAACTGACCGAGGGGCAGAAGGTATTTTGCGGTCTTTGAAATTATACAGATTATTGATACATTTATCAGTTGCTCTCTCTCAGTATGGATGAGTAGTATGTTGATATTTGTCGCTTACTGCATACGTTTTTACCAAACAGACTCTGGTCAAAAGCAGTGCAATATGTATGGAATAGGGTGCCATTTGGGACACAGACAGTGACTGGGGAGCCAGGGCAAGGCTTTCTCAGTGTTGGGGATGGAGGCTGAGTGAGGCTGAGTGAGCCTGAGTGAGGCTGAGTGAGGCTGAGAGAAGCTGAGTGAGGCTGAGTGAGGCTGAGTGAGACTGAGTGAGGCTGAGAGAGACTGAGTGAGACTGAGTGAGGCTGAGTGAGGCTGAGTGAAGCTGAGTGAGGCTGAGTGAGGCTGAGTGAGACTGAGTGAGGCTGAGTGAGGCTGAGTGAGGCTGAGTGAGGCTGAGTGAGGCTGAGTGAAACTGAGAGAAGCTGAGTGAGGCTGGGTGAGGCTGAGTGAGGCTGAGTGAAACTGAGAGAGACTGAGTGAGACTCAGCTCTGTTCTTCAGCTCTGTTCCTCAGCTCTGCTCTTCAGCGCTGGCTGTTCCCCTTCAAAATCAATCACAATTTCACAAGCAATTCCGCAAAGATAGTTTTTCATAGAAAGTCCAATGACCCGATGGTTGCTGTGGTTTGCTGGTGTATTGTAGCGGTGGACATGTAATTTGCAAACAGATGTAGAGTGTGGAGCTGAAATGATGAAATCAGTCTGATGTGAGGATCTAATTATTGAAAGCACGGTGTGTGTCTGAACCTATACCCTATTCTCTAGTGCACTGGTCAAAAGTAGTGCACTGAAAAGGGAAAATGGTGCCATTTGGGACAAAACCATTGATTTATACCTCTGGAGGTGTCAGATGGAAAAATAGCATTTCAGCTCGTATATAAATAAAATAAATAAATAATAATAAACGTTCTGATCACGTGACCTAATGCCAAGATAGCATTGAGATGATCTCTACGTTATAGAGATATCTGTTGTCTCAGATCTCAGGTGATGTCTATATTGTAGAGATATCTGTTGTCTCAGGTCTCATAACACTGCTGTCATATTCTATTATTTTATTGAACAAAGCCCAAGTGTGCGCATGTTCAGGGTTGTCTTTGTGTCTTTGTCTGGCTGGTTCTGAATGTGATCGTCACCGTAGTGTGTATATCCTACAGCTTTATTTCTGCCTCTATCAGTAATGACTGTGGATCCAGATGTTTTAGATAATCTGAAACAGGAGGTAGATCTCCAGAATGTGCACAGGCATTCTCAACAGAGATTAAGAACACTGAGAATGCATCCCAAATTGCACCCAATTACCTACATAGATCCTGGTCAAAAGTAGTGCACTATAAAGGGAACAGGGTGCCTTAAGACACAGCGTCTCATCAAGTCTGGTCATGTTATGCAGGTGGTGATGGCATTTCATCTCCCTGGACTTAACCCTAATGTTTTCCACACCATTCCGCTCTTTAAACCCTGGGTTTAAAACACTGTGGCTGCGACTCAAATAGCACCCTATTGCCTATATACAGTAGGGCACTACTTTTGACCAGAGCCCTATGTCCTGATTGAAAGTAGTGCACTATAAAGGGAATAGGGTGCCATTTGGGATGCTACAGGTATAAATGACTCTTGTTACATGGCGGAAGTAGTGTACTGTTATTGCATGGCTGGAGTAAGATATGACCACAATGCTGGCTGTGGCTGTGGCTGTTGCTGTGCTACTGTCTAGCACCGTTATCTGTCTGCTGGAGCACCCACCACATAACCTACATCAACCCCTAAACCCTTTAACTCGCCCCCCCCTTCGCTTCCCCCTTCCTGCCCCCATGCCTCCCGCCTCTCCCCCCTGCCTCTCCCTTCCTCCTCTTCCTCCTCTTCCCCCTGACCCCCATCGCCTGCCTACCTCCACCCCCCTCCCTTACCACCACCCTGGCAGTTTACAGACCACTAGCTCAGAAATGATTGTGTTTCATTTAAATTAAATTCATGACAGGTTCTGGTCTCAGCTCATTTTCACAACCATTGTATGGTTTATCCCTCTCTCGCCATCTCTCACTCCCGCCCTCTCCTCTCCTCTCCTCTCGACTCTCCTCTCTCCTCTCCTCTCCTCTCCTCTCCTCTCCTCTCCTCTCCTCTCCTCTCCTTTACAAACCTATCAATGGTACCAGCTGCAGCACGACTCTTTGGCATGAGTTCTCGCTCTCATTTTAAACACAGTCAGAAGGTCACATGACACCGTCTCCAAAGTGAGAGGGGAAAACTAAACACAGTTTCTATAGTAACGTCAGTCCCCTATACAGTGCTGTTATTGCTAAATGTTTTACCATTTTTATTTTTATGAAATTCACTGAGGAGGATGGTCCTCCCCTTCCTCCTCTGAGGAGCCTCCACTGCTATATATACAAAAGTATGTGGACACACCTGTCAACAACAGGTGTATAAAATCTAGCACACAGTCATGCAATCTCCATAGACAAACATTGGCAGTAGAATGGCCCATACTGAAGAGCTCATTGACCTTCAACGTGGCACCATTATAGGATGTCACCTTTCCAACAAGTCAGGTCGTCAAATTTCTGCCCCGCTAGAGCTGCCCCGGTCAACTGTTAGTGCTGTTATTATGAAGCGGAAACGTCTAGAAGCAACAACGGCTCAGCCGCGAAGTGGTAGGCCACACAAGCTCACAGAACGGGACCGCAGAGTGCTGAAGTGCGAAGCGTCTGTCCTCGGTTGCAACACTTACTACCAAGTTGCAAACTGCCTCTTGAAGCAACGTCAGCACAATAACTGTTCATCGGGAGCTTCATGAAATGGGTTTCCATGACCGAGCAGCCGCACACAAGCCTAAGATCACCATGCGCAATGCCAAGCGTCGGCTGGAGTGGTGTAAAGCTCGCCCCCATTGGACTCTGGAGCAGTGGAAACGTGTTCTCTGGAGTGATGAATGACACTTCACCGTCTGGCAGTCCGAGTTTAGGTTTTGCGGATGCCAGGAGAACGCTACCTGGCCGAATGCATAGTGACAACTTTAAAGTTAGGTGGAGGAGGAATAATGGTCTGGGGCTGTTTTTCATGGTTTGGGCTAGGCCCCTTAGTTCCAGTTCATTCTTAATGCAACAGCATACAATGACATTCTAGACGATTTTGTGCTTCCATCTTTGTGGCAACAGTTTGGGGAAGGCCATTTGCTGTTTCAGCATGACAATGCCCCCGTGCACAAAGCGCGGTCCATACAGAAATGGTTTGTTGTGATTGGTATGGAAGAACTTGACTGGCCTGCACAGAGCCCTGATGAATTGGAACGCTGACTGCGAGCCAGGCCTAATCGCCCAACATCAGTGCCCGACCTCACTAATGCTCTTGTGGCGGAATGGAAGCAAGTCCCCACAGCAATGTTCCAACATCTAGTAGAAAGCCTTCCCAGAAGAGTGGAGGCTGTTATAGCAGAAAAGGGGGGACCAACTTCATATTAATGCCCATGATTTTGGAATGAGACGTTTGACGAGTAGGTGTCCACATACTTAGTTTATAGTTTATAGTTTATGTGTGTTTTTTTGGACAGAGAGAATGTGTGTCTCAAATGGCACCCTATTTCCTATATAGTGCACTACTTTTGACCAACGCTCTATGGGCACACACTGCTAGCCCATAAGTATTTGTGTTTAAAGGGACTATGGGCCCTGGTAGTGCACTATAAAGGCAATAGAGTGCCATTTGGAACGAATCCAAAGAGAGGAAACAGTTGTTGTGTTTGAACCCAGCCTCCCGTGACCTCCATCTGTGGTTCACTCCCTCTTATCAAACCATTAGTCATAGCCAGCAGCATACCATCCTGCAGCCCACTGCTGGCTTGCCTCTGAAGCTAAGTAAGGTTGATCCTGGTCGGTCCCTGGATGGGAGACCAGATGCTGCTGGAAGTGGTGTTGGAGGGCCAGTAGGAGGCAGTCTTTCCTCTGGTCTAAAATAATGCCCCAGGGCAGTGATTGGGGACATTGCCCTGTGTAGGGTGCTGTCTTTTCGGATGGGACGTTAAACCGGTGTCCTGACTCTGTGGTCATTAAAGATCCCATGGCACTTATCGTAAGAGTAGGGGTGTTAACCCCAGTGTCCTGGCTAAATTCCCAATCTGGCCCTCATACCATCACGGCCACCTAACCATCCCCAGCATCCGATTGGTTCATTCACCCTTTCCTCTCCCCTGGAACTATTCCACAGGTCGTTGCTGTAAATGAGAATGTGTTCTCAGTCAACATACCTGGTAAAATAAGGGTCAAATAAATAAAAAGTCGGTTGATGAAGGATTTCAACTTCCACCTTGTAATCCGATAGCTAGGCTGCGTCCCAAATGGCACCCTATTCCCAATGTAGTGCACTTCTTCACCCCTAGTATAATTCCACCAGCTCCTGTGCCTACACGCCACAACAAAGTCCCCCAGATCTCTGCAGTAAACTTTCGTTCACTGACTATTTTCCCCTTTTCTCTCAATGTCACTGATTTGTTCAAAAGCTTTTTCCAAACTATTAAAGCTGGTCGGTCATTCAGTGGGCACTGTGTGATGAAAGGACTTGGGAGTTCTTTTTGGGGGGGGACACAACTTTAGGTTGGAGCTTTGCTCTACAAAGTAGACAGCCTTTGCGACAAATGCATAAGTGAATGATAATGACAGATAATGATAGAAAATAATCTCCAGGGGGTATCTTTGAAAATAATACTACCCTCTCTTCTCTGCTATTTCTCCAGGGGGTATCTTTGAGACCCTTGAGAATGAACCCATTAGTGTGGAGGAGCTGGCTTTTAAATTCGCTGCGACAAACATCAACAGGAACCGGACCTTAATGCCCAACACCACCCTGACCTACGACATCCAGAGAATAAACCTCTTCGACAGCTTCGAAGCCTCCAGAAGAGGTAAGGATGGTTGTTATTTGTATTCTTTACACAGTCAATTGCTTTATCCCGAGTGGCACCATATTTCCTATGGGCCCTGGTCAAATCTCTGTCTGCATCCCCATAGGGCCCTGGTCAGATATCTCTGTCTGCATCCCCATAGGACCCTGGTCAAATCTCTGTCTGCATCCCCATAGGACCCTGGTCAGATATCTCTGTCTACATCCCCATAGGACCCTGGTCAGATATCTCTGTCTGCATCCCCATAGGACCCTGGTCAGATATCTCTGTCTGCATCCCCATAGGGCCCTGGTCAGATATCTCTGTCTGCATCCCCATAGGGCCCTGGTCAGATATCTTTGTCTGCATCCCCATAGGGCCCTGGTCAGATATCTCTGTCTGCATCCCCATAGAGCCCTGGTCAGATATCTCTGTCTTCATCCCCATAGGGCCCTGGTCAGATATCTCTGTCTGCATCCCCATAGGGCCCTGGTCAGATATCTTTGTCTGCATCCCCATAGGGCCCTGGTCAGATATCTCTGTCTGCATCCCCATAGAGCCCTGGTCAGATATCTCTGTCTTCATCCCCATAGAGCCCTGGTCAGATATCTCTGTCTGCATCCCCATAGGACCCTGGTCAGATATCTCTGTCTGCATCCCCATAGGACCCTGGTCAGATATCTCTGTCTGCATCCCCATAGGACCCTGGTCAGATATCTCTGTCTGCATCCCCATAGGACCCTGGTCAGATATCTCTGTCTGCATCCCCATGGGGCCCTGGTCAGATATCTCTGTCTGCATCCCCATAGGGCCCTGGTCAGATATCTCTGTCTACATCCCCATAGGGCCCTGGTCAGATATCTCTGTCTGCATCCCCATAGGGCCCTGGTCAGATATCTCTGTCTGCATCCCCATAGGGCCCTGGTCAGATATCTCTGTCTTCATCCCCTTGGCTTACGCCACATTTTGTTGTGTTACAAAGTGGGATAAAAATAGATGTAATTGTCATTTTCTGTCAACGATCTACACTAAATACTCTGTAATGTCAAAGGGGAAGAAAAATTCTAACATTTTGTAAAAAGTCCTGAAAAATGAAACAGTAATATATCTTGACTAGATAAGTATTCAACCCCCTGAGTCAATACATGTTAGAATCACCTTTGGCAGCGATTACAGCTGTGAGTCTTTCTGGGTAAGTCTCTAAGAGCTTTCCACACCTGGATTGTGCAACATTTGCCCATTATTCTTTGAAAAATTCTTCAAGCTCTGTCAAATTGGTTGTTGATTATTGCTAGACAACCATTTTCAGGTATTGCCATAGATTTTCAAGTAGATTTAAGTCAAAACTGTCACTCGGCCATTCAGGAACATTCACTGTCTTCTTGGTAAGCAACTCCAGTGTATATTTGGCCTTGTGTTTTAGGTTATTGTCCTGCTGAAAGCTGAATTCATCTCCCAGTGTCTGGTGGAAAGCAGACTGAACCAGGTTTTCCTGTAGGATTTCCTGTGCTTAGCTTCATTACATTTCTTTTTTATCCTGAAAAACTCCCCAGTCCTTAACGATTACAAGCATACCCATAACATGATGCAGCCACCACTATGCTTGAAAATATGGAGAGTGGTATCTTTGTAGTGACTGGGTGTATTGATACACCATCCAAAGTGGAATGAGTAACTTCACCATGCTCAAAGGGATATTCACGTCTGCTTTTTAAAATGTATTTAAAATGTGAACCAATAGGTGCCCTTCTTTGCGAGGCATTGGAAAACCTCCCTGGTCTTTGTGGTTGAATCTGTGTTTGAAATGCACTGCCCGACTGAGGAACCTTACAGATAATTGTATGTGTGGGGGTACAGAGATGAGGTAGTCATTCAAAAAAACATGTTAAACACCATTATTGCACACAGAGTGAATCCATGCAACATATTATGTGACTTGTTAAGCACATTTTTACTCCTGAACTTATGTAGGGTTTGAATACTTATTGACTCAAGACATTTCAGCTTTTTAAAATATTTTATTAATTTGCACAAATTTAGAAAAACATAATTCCACTTTGCCGTTATCGGGCATTGTGTGTAGGCCAGTGAACGAAAATCTAAATTGTATCAATTTTAAATTCAGGCTGTAACACAACAAAATGAGGAAAGAGTCAAGGGGTGTGAATACTTTCTGAAGGCTTCTCACTTCAATCCCTCTTGTGTCGTAGGCTGCTCTTGATGCTGAGCGGGCACTGGAGTGTTCTTGTTTATGTGTTTTATTGAGCATGCCTGTGTGCTTTCTGAAGGCACTGAAGGTCATAAGGTTCCATTTGGGATGCAGCCAATAACAGTCCCTCTCTACTGTCCCTCTCCCAGCCTGTGACCAGTTGGCTCTGGGTGTCGGGGCGGTGTTTGGGCCCTCTCACAGCTCCTCCGTCAGTGCTGTCCAGTCCATCTGCAACGCTCTGGAGGTGAGACACAGTCACATTACATAACACACCGTCACAATAACATATCACATTACATAACACACCGTCACAATAACATATCACATTACATAACACACCGTCACAATAACATATCACATTACATAACACACCGTCACAATAACATATCACATTACATAACACACCGTCACAATAACATATCACACAACATAACATACCGTCACAATAACATATCACATAACACACCGTCACAATAACATATCACACAACATAACATACCTTCACAATAACATATCACATAACATACCGTCACAATAACATATCACATTATGTAACACACCGTCACAATAACATATCACATTACATAACACACTGTCACAATAACATATCACACTACATAACACACCGTCACAATAACATATCACACAACATAACGTCACAATAACATATCACATAACACACCGTCACAATAACATATCACATTACATAACACACCGTCACAATAACATATCACATTACATAACACACCGTCACAATAACATATCACACTATCACACAACATAACGTCACAATAACATATCACATAACAGACCATCACAATAACATATCACACCATCACATAGCATATCACACAACACAACGTCACAATAACATATCACATTACATAACACACCGTCACAATAACATATCACACTATCACACAACATAACGTCACAATAACATATCACATAACAGACCATCACAATAACATATCACACCATCACATAGCATATCACATAACACACCGTCACAATAACATATCACACTATCACATTACATAACATACCGTCACAATAACATATCACACCATCACATAACACACCGTCACAATAACATATCACACTTCATAACATACTGTCACAATAACATATCACATTACATAACACACCGTCACAATAACATATCACACTATCACATTACATAACACACTGTCACAATAACATATCACACAACACACCGTCACAATAACTTATCACATTACATAACATACCGTCACAATAACTTATTACACCATCACATTACATAACATATCACACAACACAACGTCACAATAACATATCACATTACATAACACACTGTCACAATAACATATCACACTATCACACAACATAACATACCGTCACAATAACATATCACATAACATACCGTCACAATAACATATCACATTACATAACATACCGTCACAATAACATATCACACCATCACATATCACACAACACGTCGTCACAATATCAAATCACATAACATACCGTCACAATAACATATCACATTACATAACATACCGTCACAATAACATATCACACCATCACATTACATAACATATCACACAACATAACACACCATCACAATAACATATCACATAACATACCGTCACAATAACATATCACACCATCACATTACATAACATATCACACAACACAACACACCGTCACAATAACATATCACACCATCTCATAACACACCGTCACAATAACATATCACACTATCACATTACATAACATACCGTCTCAATAACATATCACACCATCACATTACATAACAAACCGTCACAATAACATATCACATTACATAACATACCATCACAATATCACATTACATACAATCACAATAACATATATCACACTATCACATTACATAACACACCGTCACAATAACATATCACACCATCACATTACATAACATACCGTCACAATAACATATCATACCGTAACACACCGTCACAATAACATATCACACTATGTTACGAACCCAGTGGCTTTAAAAGTCTAGGGTGGATGGAAAAGAGACCTGTAACATAATTCATGCAAATTAGAATGGTGACACGGAAACAGTGAGAACAAAAAATACACCGACAACCATAAGCTACCGTCAAACATAAAATGTTTATTTTGAACACACGGTAAAGGTTTGGGAAAAAGGGCTGAGCAGGACCCAAGAAATGAAACAATAGTGTAAAAAAAACCTAAACTGATCTTGCCTGCCTCAAGAACCGCTAAGCTACTGCTAATCATACAACAATTACAGTGGGTGGTCCGCTCAGGTCTAACTAGTGTTTTTAGACAATGTTCTTCCTACGGGTAATGTATGCCCAAGGGCAACTTGCTTAAATCCCCCTTTTCCCAGAAACACACAACAAAGTTACCAAACAGAGTAACCAGCAAATGAGAGAGTACACAAAACACAGGACACCACAGTATCCATACTCACATACGAAAAATAGTCTCTCACAACAAACACAACTGACTGGCTTTTAAAACAATGGGAGGTGTGAGTGAAAAACCAGAAACAGGTGGTGCAATGCAGAGGAATGTCCACTGATTGGTCCACCTCAGCAATCAGCAGCCAAACAGATGTCGGACAGGTGGGACACCCCAACGACCACCAATCAGGAACACAAAGGACACCTGTGATTAGGGCAGAAGGAGAGGAAAAACACAAAAACACACACAGGATACCTGTATCCGTAACACACTATCACATTACATAACACACCGTCACAATAACATATCACACCATCACAGTACATAACACACCATCACATAACATATCACACAACACAACATAAGACACCATCACATAACATCATATTGTTTAAAATTGGATTGGTTGATTGATTGACTGATTGATTTTTGGGTAAAACAATTTGTACCGTTTAAAACCATTTAAAAGTACAAAGAAATCCCAGAGGAGAACACATGAAAGTGTTAAGCTTATTTCTAATGTGGTCCTCGAGTAAAGAAAATTAAAACATTGCATTTGTGTTCCTGCTAAGGTGCCTCACATAACAAATGATCACATAATATAACATTTTGAAAAAACATTTTAGCAGACGCTCTTATCCAGAGAGACTTACAGTTAGTGAGTGCTTACATTTTCATACTGGCCCCCCGTTGGAATCGAACCCACAACCCTGGCGTTGCAAGCGCCGTGATCTACCAACTGAGCTACAGGGGACCTAACATCACTTAACATATCATCACATTGATGAAAAATAAACATTGTGTTTATGTCCCTCCTAAGGTGCCCCACATCCAGACCCGGTGGAAACACCCCTCTGTGGACAACAAGGACAGCTTCTACATCAACCTGTACCCAGAGTACGCCTCCATCAGCAGAGCCATACTGGACATCGTGCAGTACTACAAGTGGAAGACAGTCACCGTGGTTTACGAGGACGCAACTGGTGAGTGATCTAAACAGACAAAGGGAAGGGAACACTGCCACTGCCTCATTCTCCAACCAAGGGGCGGCAGGTAGCTTAGTGGTTAAGAGCGTAGTGCCAGTAACCGAAAGGTCGCTGGTTCTAATCCCCGAGCCGACTAGGTGAAAAATCTGTCGATGTGCCCTTGAGCAAGGCACTTAACCCTAATTGCTCCTGTAAGTCGCTCTGGATAAGAGCGTCTGATAAATGACGTAAATGTAAAAAGGTGCAACCATTGAGGAGCAAACTGAACTGAAGTGAAGAGGAAATTCAGCAATTATTGGACGACAGTGAAAGTTGAAGTTGAGAGACACGCTTCAGGAGTAGCTGAATTTCCCATTCACTTCAGTTTGATCTAAACAGACAATCAGTGTGGTTTAAGAGGACACATCTGGTGAATGATCTGACCTGGACAATGAGACAGGATGTGATGTATGTCACTGGTAGGACCAGGAAACTCTGGCCCCTAGATGTAGGCTAGGGGGAGAGCAAAAAGCCAAGGGTGACAGAGGACAGCCTTGGCAGGTTGCTCTAGCAATGCTACATTGAGAAGAGCAAACTTTGCCAGTAAAAAGCAATGCTATGGGTCTTAGTGATCACATAGTTCTGTAGATTCGTGCCAATTCTATTTGTAAAAGGCATCAGCAGCAATGGTTCTACAATATTGAAAGATTGTTTGCTTGCATCAGCCAAGAACGAGAAGTAGTAGTAGCAGGGTCCATAGGGCTCTGGTCAAAAGTAGTGTACTACATAGGGAATAGGGTGCGGTTTGGGACACAGACTAGGACTCAGCTTTGCTTTGTGTTAGATGTTATGCTGCATGGTGTTATGAAGGGTTAGTAGTTGGAATACCTCTATATAGATGGAAGACTTCAGACTCAGAAAATGTCACTCAGAGTGTTTGTTTATTAGCCTGGTCCCAGATCTGTTTATTAGCCTGGTCCCAGATCTGTTTATTAGCCTGGTCCCAGATCTGTTTATTAGCCTGGTCCCAGATCTGTTTATTAGCCTGGTCCCAGATCTGTTTATCAGCCTGTTCCCAGATCTGTTTATTAGCCTGGTCCCATATCTGTTTATTAGCCTGGTCCCAGATCTGTTTATTAGCCTGGTCCCATATCTGTTTATTAGCCTGGTCCCAGATCTGTTTATTAGCCTGGTCCCAGATCTGTTTATTAGCCTGGTCCCAGATCTGTTTATTAGCCTGGTCCCAGATCTGTTTGTTAGCCTGGTCCCAGATCTGTTTATTAGCCTGGTCCCAGATCTGTTTATTAGCCTGGTCCCAGATCTGTTTATTAGCCTGGTCCCAGATCTGTTCATTAGCCTGGTCCCAGATCTGTTTATTAGCCTGGTCCCAGATCTGTTTATTAGCCTGGTCCCAGATCTGTTTGTGCTGTGCTGACTTGCAAGGTGCCAAGACGCACAAATACAGTGGCTTCAGAAAGTATTCACAACCCTTGACTTTTTCCACATTTTGTTGTGTTACAGACTGAATTTAAAATTAATTAAATTGAGATTTCGATTTCGTGTCACTGGCCTACACACGATATCCCATAATGTCAAAGTGGAATTATGTTTTTCGAAATGTTTACAAATGTATTAGAAATGAAAAGCTGAAATGTCTTGAGTCAATAAGTATTCAATCCCTTTGTTATGGCAAGCCTAAATAAGTTCAGGAGTAAAAATGTGCTTAACAAGTCACATAATAAGTTGCATGGACTCTGTACGCAATAATAGTGTTTAACATAATTTTTTGAATGACTACCTCATCTCTGTACCCCACACATACAATTATCTGTAAGGTCCCTCAATCGAGCAGTGCATTTCAAACACAGATTCATCCACAAAGACCAGGGAGGTTTTCCAATGCCTCTCAGAAGGGCACCTATTGGTAGATTGGTATATAAAAACAAAAAAGAAAGCAGACATTGAATATCCCTTTGAGCACGGTGAAGTTATTCATTACACTTTGGATTGTGTATCAATACACTCATTCACTACAAAGATACAGGTGTCCTTCCTAACTCAGTTGCCGGAGAGGAAGGAAACCGCTCAGGGATTTCACCATGAGGCCAATGGTGACTTTAAAACAGTTACAGAGTTTAATGGTTTTGATAGAGCTAAGCACAGGCAAAATCCTAGAGGAAAACCTGGTTCAGTCTGCTTTCCAACAGACACTGGGAGACAAATTGCCCTTTCAGTAGGACAATAACCTAAAACACAAGGCCAAATATACACTGGAGTTGCTTACCAAGACGACATTGAATGTTCCTGAGTGGCCTAGTTACAGTTTTGACGTACAGTACCAGTCTAAAGTTTGGACACACCTACTCATTCAAAGGTTTTTCTTTATTTTTACTATTTTCTACATTGTAGAATAATAGTGAAGCCATCAAAACTATGAAATAACACATATGTAACCAAAAAAGTGTTAAACAAATCCAAATCCAAGTAGCCACCCTTTGCCTTGATGACAGCTTTGCACACTCTTGGCATTCTCTTAACCAGCTTCATGAGGAATGCTTTTCCAACAGTCTTGAAGGAGTTTACATTTACATTTTCGTCATTTAGCAGACGCTCTTATCCAGAGCGACTTACAAATTGGTTCATTCACCTTATGATAGCCAGTGGGACAACCACTTTACAATATATATATCTTTATTTAATTTTTTGGGGGTGGGGTAAGGGGGGGTAGAAGGATTACTTTATCCTATCCCAGGTATTCCTTAAAGAGGAAGGTGGTGAGTGACTCTGCTGTCCTGGCGTCATGAGGGAGCTTGTTCCACCATTGGGGTGCCAGAGCAGCGAACAGTTTTGACTGGGCTGAGTGGGAAATGTGCTTCCGCAGAGGTAGGGGGGCCAGCAGGCCAGAGGTGGATGAACGCAATGCCCTCGTTTGGGTGTAGGGACTGATCAGAGCCTGAAGGTACGGAGGTGCCGTTCCCCTCACAGCTCCGTAGGCAAGCACCATGGTTCCCACATATGCTGAGCACTTGTTGGCTGCTTTTCCTTCACTCTGCGGTCCAACTCATCCCAAACCATCCCCGTTGCTCCCGAGTGGCGCAGCGGTCTAAGGCACTGCATCTCAGTGCTTGAGGTGTCACTACAGACCCCCTGGTTCGATTCCAGACTGTATCCAGGCACACAATTGGCCCAGCATCGTCTGGGTTTGGCCGTTGTAGGCCGTCATTGTCAATAAGAATTCGTTCTTAACTGACCTGCCTAGTTAAAAAAAAGGTTAAAAAATAAAAAAATTGGTTTGAGGTTGGGTGATTGTGGAGGCCAGATCATCTAATGCAGCACTCCATCACTCTCCTTCTTGGTCAAATAGCCCTTACACAGCCTGGAGGTGTGTTTTGGGTCATTGTCCTGTTGAAAAACAAATGATAGTCCCACTAAGCACAAACCAGATGGGATGGCGTATTGCTGTGGTAGCCATGCTGGTTAAGTATGCCTTGAATTCTAAATAAATCACTGACAGTGTCACCAGCAAAGCACCCCCACACCATCACACCTCCTCCTCCGTGCTTCACGGCGGTAACCACACATGCGGAGATAATCCGTTCACCTACTCTGCATCTCACAAAGACACGGCGGTTGGAACCAAAAATCTCAAATTTGGACTCATCAGACCAAAGGACAGATTTCCACCGGTCTAATGTCCATTGATCGTGTTTCTTGGCCCAAGCAAGTCTCTTCTTCTTATTGGTGTCCTTTAGTAGTGATTTCTTTGCAGCAATTCGACCATGAAGACCTGATTCATGCAGTCTCCTCTGAACAGTTGATGTTGAGATGTGTCTGTTACTTGAACTCTGTGAAGCATTTATTTGGGCTGCAATCTGAGGTGCAGTTAACTCTAATGAACGTATCCTCTGCAGCAGAGGTAACTCTGGGTATTCCTTTCCTGTGGCGGTGTCACGCCCTGACTCTGAGGACTCTTATTTGTTGAGTCAGGGTGTGATTTTCTATGTTGTATTTTCTATGTTTGTGATCTAGGTTTTGTAGTTCTATGTTTGGCCGGGTGTGTTTCCCAATCAGAGGCAGCTGTCGCTCGTTGTCTCTGATTGGGGAGCATACTTAGGCAGCCTATTGGCAATTAGGTGTTGTGGGATCTTGTTCCGTGTGAGGTTTGTTGTGTGTACCTTAGGACGTCACGTGTCATTGGTTTATTGTTTTGTCGTTGTGTTTATTCGTTAAATAAACATGTATGCATATCACGCTGCGCCTTGGTCTGACCCGTCTATGAACGATCGTGACAGGCGGTCCTCATGAGAGCCAGTTTCATCATAGCACTTTATGGTTTTTGCGACTGCACTTGTAGAAACTTTCAAAGTTCTTGAAATTTTCCGGATTGACTGACCTTCATGTCTTAAATTAATGATGGACTGTCGTTTCTCTTTGAGCTGTTCTTGCCATAATATGGACTTGGTATTTTACCAAATAGGGCTATCTTCTGTATACCCCCCCCCCCTACCTTGTCACAACACAACTGATTGGCTCAAACGCATTAAGAAGGAAAGAAATTCCACAAATTACTTTTAACAAGGCACACCTGTTAATTGAAATGCATTCCAGGTGACATGAAGCTGGTTGAGAGTGTGCAAAGCTGTCATCAAGGCAAAGGGTGGCTACATTTACATTTACATTTTCGTAATTTAGCAGCATTTATTTTTTTGGGGGGGGGGGGGGGGGTAGGGGGAGGGTAGAAGGATTACTTTTATTCTATCCCAGGTATTCCTTAAAGAGGTGGGGTTTCAAGTGTCTCCGGAAGGTGGTGAGTGACTCCTCTGTCCTGGCGTCGTGAGGGAGCTTGTTCCACCATTGGGGTGCCAGAGCAGCGAACAGTTTTGACTGGGCTGAGCGGGAACTGTGCTTCCGCAGAGGTAGGGGGGCCAGCAGGCCAGAGGTGGATGAACGCAATGCCCTCGTTTGGGTGTAGGGACTGATCAGAGCCTGAAGGTATGGAGTTGCCATTCCCCTCACA